TGGGGGATGCAATATCACGACCTGCGACAGCAATCCGGTCTCCAATTCTCCCGTGTTTCTCCTTCACCCGGAATGAATCAGGAAGAACAACCGGTTAGTCAAGGGAAAGTATATTGTTCCCTGAAAGTACCGGAATTTAGCCTGACTACACTCGAGAGTATCTGAAAGCGAAGTGTTTAGCAAGCGAAGGTGTATCACGGAGCTCACTCACCGTTTAAAGTGAAGTTACTTCACCGGAGGTGGCAGTGACCTAAACAAAGATAAAAGATCTAGATGAAGAAGCGGTCTCAGGATCTCGAAGATCCTGGCGGAATCTGTGCTACAAAGGAGGAGGACGCCTGAGGAATGCTCCAAGCAACCAATGTCTACAATCATGCAGAACAGGCAGACCAAAGGTGGTGACAACTCTCGAGCATGTTACACTATCGGTCTCAAGCCACTACACAACTGTGATATTCATTCGTCTGAATGTATTTATTTTTTTCCGGGGCACGCGTTTGCTGCTCATGTTAAGTAAACTAAAGTTGTTCTCGCACATGTTCGACGCTTCTTGTGTTCACAATAAGAATCAGAACGGAAGGCTCTCTTATTTGAAATATTTTCCTCCGCTGTTATCGGCCCAGTGGTCTAGGGGTATGATACTCGCTTTGGGTGCGAGTGGTCCCGGGTTCGAATCCCGGCTGGGCCCCGCGTTTTACGCCTGTTTTTCTTCTCGACACTGTCAATGTGGCATTTTTTTCATTTCATTGATTCCACCTTGCTATCTTCAGGGCCATCACTTCAACGATGGCGCATTGATATTAAAGATTTCAGCCTACCGATTTCCCTGTTGATGCAACATTCTTAGGTGTCCTGTTTATATGTGAATCACAGAAAACCAATGAAAGGCTTGGTCAACTGCTTGTTTTCACGCCAACGAAAGAATCGAATTTCCACCTCTCAACTCAATTAGACTGCGCTGGTTTGCTGGATCTTTCTTGGTTGGACAACTATGCCGTGATTGGAGCCCAAGCGAATGGTGAAGCAATCGTGTGGCATTTTCACGAATCCTATCGGACGGAAATCTCGTCATCGAAATATCACGTTTCTGACACACTTTTACTGTCTACACAGGTCATGCACAACAAGTATGTACCTCAGTACGCTTACTGTAGCTATAATTCGGTTATTGAATTTTCTTTTCCGACTCTGCCGGCTGCATTCACATCTGGACTGCTGATCATGTGATAGAACCGAGGCGGTTGCTATCGCATGAGGCGCATAAATTTGAAGCTTGGTGTGTTACCCCAGATAGCAAACAAGAAAATGTCTATTATTCTGGTGGAGATGACGGGTTTTGCTACGCTTGGGATGAGCGATGTGGTTCAAAACCAACCATAAATTTCAAGTAAGTTTTTCTGCTCAAACTAGACATTTGATGCTGCATATGAAAAACTGCGGATTGCTTGTTATCACTGCCCTGACGAAGATTTTCATTCGTATTCTCATAAGTCTGTTTAATGTGCCAGCTGGTTGTGTGAATAGTGTTCTATAGAATCATATTACTAATGAGTAGCACAATTCTGTACGCTTTGCTAATCTCTCATAGTCACGAGCTCTATCGGTTTCTTCATGGTAACTCCACTCTTCTCGTTCCGTTACTCATTCCTCACCGTGTTCTCTTCGCGGCAATCGCACTTGCTTGTCACCCATTCTGATTTGACCGGGTTCGACGTAAATCAGATTACCCTATTAGTGACTCCGTGTGAACACCCAAAATGCAGCCCGTGGCCGGTCAGTCGCTTAGAAAAATGTTTCTATCATTATTTATTTGTGTCTGTTTCTGTCTTCGTAGTCTGTTTTTGTCCCTGCAACCTTAAGTACCTCCTCTTGAGAGGTGTTTGCTTCAAATCCTTTCTGACTCCATACACAACTGCGTTCCATTCATTGTGTACTTTAATTTCCGGGCACCTCCCTCATTCAGCAAGAAAATATTTAAAACAAAAATATCGTGATACAGCCTATCAGATATTTGTCGTACAACGTCCCCGTATATCGTCGAATGCAATGCATAAAAGCACTTTTGATGAAGAACCAATTGCGATTTAGAATTTGTCAACGATACTTAACTGCCGAGAAAGATAGGTCATTCTGTTACCGATTATCCATTTGTATCGCTGCTTCTTCGGCCATGTGAACTTTCATCCCATTGCGAAAGAAGAATGAAGCGATTCAGTGGATCTGTATGAAGGCGTGTCTCATGCCTATTCATATCTCACAAGCAAGGTGACGGATTTTTTATTGTTTTAATGTTCTTGTTATGACGAGTGTTGCGTCCAAGTCTGCAATTTGAAGCCGTATATTCTGTCGGCTGCACTGATTCTATCGGTTTATTCACTTTTACCGCGCGATGACTTAAGCTTTTTTATTACACCCAAGTGAAGCACCATTTATCTGCCAGATTAGGTGGGGTATTGAGTCAGCCAAAAGCTTTAAGTATGCAGATGATGTCTTATGTCAAGCTATTTCAAACCAACCAGACAGGATAATTTTCCGACAGTTTACCACAAGTACAATCACTCTCGAATCACTCCGGTCTCCGGTTGAATACTTCTCAATCCTTTGAATGCATTTTTACTCTTTTCCGGTCTGATTATCCCTCGGAACTCTCAGTCATCAACTCCGTACCCGTCACCAGAACACAACACCAAATACCTAGAAGTTACTATAGATAGCAATCTACGGTGGTCCTCGCATGTGCTTGCTTGTGTTTGTGGACTGCGTCGCTTATCTTTTCAAGTACGCAAGCTTCGTCAATTTTGTGTCAGACACGAAACTGTATGTTCCTTTGTTTATCAATGGATTTTTCCAGTCATACCTTTTATTATTTTTATTTTATTAAATTTTTATTATTTTCCCTGGACTAATTAAAAAGGATTTCATTACTCTACGTCTAGGTCTGGTAATTATCAGCCGTGTTTCTCTTATTCCTTTAAACACTCTGATCACAAAGTTGTGTAATTTGCATATCACTTCATGTGAGAATTTCACTCCTAAGATATTTAATAACCCCAGTCATCCGCTCAATCCCGATTTATCTGCTTGCCGTCCCCAGGCTACAACCCGATCCAGTTTTCGCTGCTTGCCCTCCCGCATAAACATTTATCGCAACTCAACGGTTCCCTATCTGGCTCGTATTCTCACTGACAGGGCGAGGATCCGTAGCGAACTAATCTACAAAGATGAACACCATTTAGTTCTATCATTGTTGTATACGAATTTTGAATCCATTTTTCTTATCCCATTGTAATGGTGAACACATTTTTGGCTGAAATGTACGCATAGTTGCCTGCACAAGTCATCTATAATACAATAATACAATACAGAAGATACTGAATCTGATTCCCTCCGAGCTTCTTTATTGCTCTCAAGGCATGTTTTCACAATTAGGACAAATGATAACCAATCCGTGACTATGTACAATTGTTATTTCTTCATGAGCTCTACTTTCAATCATCCCTTGATCTTTTTGCTGGTCTTTTTAAAATTCCATAAAGTTTTGTTGCACATGCCATGAATATCGATGTTCACTGATCGCTTGCTGTTGAAAATCTTGGTCGGTTTCATTCGGTGCAACAACGTTGTTAATCTCTGCTTCACCCCCCCCCCGTTCTCCCCATCCTCTTTAGACACGATGTGGGTGTCTGCAGTGTGGTAGCCCAACCGATGGCAGAAAATGTCCTCTCTACGGGATGGTGAGTGAGTGTTCTTGTCCCATCCGCATTACCACCAATTTCTTTTTCTGTCTTTTCTTCTCTGGCTTTCTCTTGGGGGTCCCATTCGCTTTGACTCTTTGATGTTTCGCATCACCTTTGTGATTCTGTTTGCGTTTATGTGTATTCCGAGGGTACAGGCAGTTGTTAATTAATGTGTGTGTGTGCGTGCTTGTCCGCGTCTGTGACCGTAGTTCCATACTAATGCTTCCTTCTGAATGTGATTAGTGATGCTATCGTTAGTTAAACCTTTTCAGTTATTCCTGGGGGCAAAACCGAATCGAATGTTTCAGAATGACACTGACCATCCATCAGTCGCGGTCTCGTATTATCCATTGCATGCGCCGATTATAGCAACTTTCTTTTCTCATTCCAAAGTTCAGTCGGTTCGATGTCAACTCGGGTCTTTCTTTGTTCCTTAATTTGTTTTACCAAGTGTAATACCGCGATATCCTTTTTGTTAGTTGTGTCCCTTCCATCCCGTTTATGGAACTAATAAATAAGATGTATGATTTGCACGATAGTACTTCTAAAAAGCTAACAAGTATCTAATCGGATCGGTAATATCAATGATCACGTACGTTCGTAGTCGTTTAAGGTTCAAACAACTTTAATCTATGGTATTCTGATTTCGGTTACTACGTGACAGTATCCCTGTAAAGTGGATTATAAGAATCAGAGTTTTCAGTACAGTTTAACCCATGTAGAGAGTTGTAGAAGTAATGAAATGAAATGGGTGACTTAAATAAGGAAATGGAATGTCTTCGTGGTGTGACCGCCGGAAAGGTCAAACTTTTCACGGGAGACCAGTTGCCGTCGCTTTCGGAAGAATCATTAATCGCTACGGCCAACGTCATGCGCCAGTGTGGTCCATTTAGAACATTTGCACCATGCAAGTATCAAGCACCTAATTTTGCCAAGATCCCGACAGCAGTTTCAGTTTCAGTTGCAGTTTGTGCAACCATTAATCATGCACCATCGTGCGTCTGTTTTGGTTGCTGTCTTTCGGCTGCCCATTTGGATGAAATCAAGGAGAAAGACAGGAAAGGTTGAAACTAGGACCAAGGAGAAAATTTAGGATTTCGGTGAACTAATGTTGCAAAGAAATTGGCGAAATGCACGAATGCCATTGTTTGCGACACAGCCATATCACTCCGTGTCTCTAACCGTCGGGTATGATCATCCCGAGGTCCCCATCCAGGGAGCCTAACGGGAACTACGTGACCCAGACTCCCGACAGCGTCAAAACTCAACCTAGACTTCTGTCTACGTTGGTTTCTGCCTGTATTTAGGTATCCGGGACTTCCTACTGCTCAATATGTATACTTCTCATTTCCATCAGATTTTTCCAAGCTTCATATGTCACCACGATCTGAAAGATGTGCCTTTGATAATGCTTGCGGGCAAACATGGTGGCAACGTCACAACACTATTAACAACAACAGGGGATGGATGGATTAAGAAACAGAACAGAGTGAAATGAAGGTTACAATGGATAAGAGTAGATAACATGAATCAGAACAAAATTTGTTTGTGTTGCGCCGTACACTTTTTGATATTTTTGTGTATGTCAGTTTATCGCTTTTTTGCGCGGCGCCGGATTTCAACAGGCAGACCGCACAAAATTCGCGCCACTGATTTCTATTCTGGACCATATCTCTCAGGGTCTCTAACCAGTGGTCGCCTCTAGTCGCGAACCGAGATTGCTAGTGCGTAGTACTATCTGCACGCACACGCGGAGAGTACCCGCCAAGCAAACCTCATTGAATCATCAAGTAGTGCCGCTGATCATCCATGACCGTTTATTTTTATAAACTCGTCTGGTTCAGGAGCAACTGCCATTTTTCACATCTCGCGAATCATTCCGCCCCCACGGAAGTGATTCTAATTATATTGTTTCAAGATTCGCTCATTCTTTAGAGAGCTTGTTTATCGTCTCAGCACGTGTAACCAAAATACAGCCGCCAAATACATTGTAAAAAACTTAATCTCCTTCAAAGGTTTTCCCAAATGCAAGGGTATCATTTAGTCAAGCACCCTTTTCCTTTATGCATGAAGTGAGAACACCTTTGATGAGCCGAATCGATGTTGACCATCAACTTTGCGTGCTCTCATTCAGTTGCAACTACCTATTTTTACAATCTTACCAACAAAACCATATCGGATCATCCAACTCGTGACCACATTTAGTTTGTGGGATATGGTTTATTATCAGAAAACTGTAAAAGAAAGTGGAATAGTCAAAGAAGGGGTGATGTTCTTCGTGGGTGTGTGCGCGAGACAGAAAAATATCACACAGGTGTACATTTTTACAGCTGAATGTGGGCACATTAAAGTGGTTGGGCACTGTCAGTTCTGTCCACATTTGTTTTCGTGCTCTAACGATCAGCCCACTAAGTTTTGAATGTGAGTTCAAGTCACATATGCATTTTGTTTAACACTAATAATAATAGTAATAATAATAATAATAATAAGTGTCTTGTAGATCCGATTGTATGTGGGTAAACGAATTGCGATGAGAGAAATGTAATATTGCAATAACAACAAACTGCGATAACCCGCGGAACTTCATTTTAGCACGATTGAGAGACAAATGCTTGAGAAACAGGACAAACACTTCCACAGACGGACAGATTTTTCAACGGCGCGATTATTTTTTTGTTAATCACTCCAAATCCGCATCGATATGGGAAATGTGTAAATGCGTATATTAGTTGCCGAAGTGCAATGGTGTCGATAGTGTCCTGTTGTGATAAGATTTTAAAATTGGTCATTATGCTTTACTGTCTTCCGTACAAGAACAAAAACGAAAAAATCTTCAAAATCTCTGCATGCTGAATCGCTATTTTGGGACAGTTTGTACAACACTTAATTTAATGAATCGTATGTGCTGCTGATTACGGTTGCCTAACTGCCAATCATTCATCGCAGACTGGCAGTCGACACGCTTTTCATCGTGTTCTTTTAACTGTTCTGACCGACCACTGACTGACTCTCTCTTGCCTGCGCGTGCGGTGTTTTCACGGTTGTCAATCAACCAAAATTGCCTTCGGCTGTTCGGTTTTACTTCCGGATTATACACTGCACTGTGAACAAAACAGAACACTCTGAATTGCACATATTCATTCACGTGGTGTCCCCTACCTTGTTTATTGTGCTGCTTGCTCGGGACCAATCGACAGCAGCAGCAGTAGACCTTTGCAAATGGATGATCCGTCTGATGAGGTACGACAATTTTCATAACCCTTTTAAGCGTGCTTGAGTGATCGTTGTTTGGATTGAGGGACTTACTTATATGCATTGTCAACTCTCTACGCGACTGAATTTAGCCCTGAGGTGAGTGCTTTTGAGCAAATCGAAAAGGTTCATGAATGACCAATCCGTCTGGTTGCATTAAAACAAACCGATAACAATTTGATCTGTAGGATGTCTGTAATTCGTCGCTGTGGTCACATTCGTGTTTGTTTACATTTTGCTGTTTCTCTGTTTTTACAGTCGCAATCAGCCGTTCGCGCTTGAGTTTCATCCGGTTATAACTTTGTTCGGCCTTTTACGAGTACGGTAATTCGATCGGCTACTAGCTTATTTAGATACATGATCTTTCAAATAAGCGGTTCCGGGCCAACCCGTTTTCCATTGGGCGACAAGGAAATCATTTTGTTTCAATCTTTTAGGCTTAGATTCATGCATCTGCCTGATATTCTTTGGACTCCATCACTTTTCTCCTCATGATATCCTGCGTTCTTTTTTCTCGTCCTCTTTTTTCACCGAAACGCTCACTTTTTCCTTATCCCCAAGTGCATGGAAACAGTCAGTATGTTTCCACAAGGCCAACATTATTTTACAATGTTACGACTGAAGGGCAATAGTCCTCGTCACATTGTAGTTGCACACAATGAGACCATTTAGAGCACATGCTAGATCTGGTATTCACCTCTGTTCATACTCGTTCCATTTTAGTTACGATGGTTTTCTACGCCTCTGGGACTTGAGAATGCCAAGTGAACGCGTTCCCGGTCGATCCGATCCAGTATTATTGCTTTGTTCAACTGGTGGTGGTGGTGTGTGGCGTCAAAAATGGCTGGCCGACCGATATGTCCTGATGGCTGCTATGCATACTGGATTTATGATAATCGGTCCGCTGTGTTCGACGCAGTTTGGTGGTAATACGGTACAAATTGAACCACTGGCTTGTTACCGACCATCAGCCAAATTGGCCTACGGCATCGATTGCTTTGAGCAAAATAGTGCAGGCGTGACTACCGACCAACAGCTCCGTGCCGTTGTTGCAACCTGTTCATTCTATGATAATACTGTTGATTTTTCGCAACTTCTTTTACCAGCAGTTTTGAGGGAATAAAATTATTGCTCGGTTTTCAGCTTTTTTTCCAGCAACACTTATTGGGCTTCACACAAGATTAAGTTCATGCAAAATCGGTTTATCGCCAGAATTTCACTTATGCTAATAAACTGGTTATGGAGAAAATATTTCGATCTCTCTATCGTCGAGTGGCTTGGCTTTCGTTCGTTCTCATCATCTGGATGCATTAACTTTAACCTGTTGGGTTCACCAGATTACTGTTAGCAAGCATTCACAGTTACTCGCCGATTGACCAGGATGGACTCCATCAATGAATACACTTTGTTCGGGGAAAACCTTCCGTGCTCATACCGTGTGGTACTTCCGTATTTGCACTCGCTTTCTGTGGTGTTGTCGAATCTGATGGTCTCACGAACTCCTAGCTGTTGAGCATTTTGTCAATCAGTACCGGGTACGATTTTTTCAGAGTTATGAGTTAAGCATGGGAGTCCCCCTTTAGTGCTATAACAGTCACATGAGATACTGTTAATACACGGTTGCATTTGACCGCCTCGAGGTCATCGCTTTCAGTCAGCTTAGACTGACTACACTGAATAGTTATTTCGCAAGCAAGTCATGTAGCTGTATTATTTACGTGACCCTGTAACCTCTCTCTTTTCACTTGTTTCATTATCGTATTTGCGTTTCACACGTCTTAATGCTGGATATTCTCCGGTCGCGTTGCACAAAGCGATTACTAAATGACTTGGCTTCCAAGTTCAAATGAACAATACACTGAAAGTCATCGAAACGAATCATGTGGTATTTCATACTATTTTAATCCAAGTTTGCATGATAAACGAACCTTAGCTGTTCTCTAAATCAGTCCCGGTCACTTTGTGTCTCATCTTTTAGGCGCTTCTTGTCTAGTGAATAAACGTGATAATCTGCAACGATTTTATCTAGGGACTTGGAATTTCACTTTGGACGTATACTGTCTCGGAAACACGCATACAAGACCATGCCGTAACTATTACCCCGTGTGCTCCCAGTTCAACTTCATCCTCACGCTCCGTGTCCGGTGTTTCGGTATCTAATGCTTGCCATGTTGGTGTCGGCATTCCGTTGAGCGCTCGCTTCATTACTGGATTCTAGTCAGCAGCCGATTGTGCACAGTTTCTCTACATCTAGAACGGGTTAATAGCTAAAGAACGGAGCACGAGTACGTTTGTTTACGCACTATCTGTTTGCAGTGCGATCTCTCTCGGCTGCTAAAGTGTTCGTTCAGCAGATTTCGTAATAGTTGCTGGTGTCTTCAGCGCTCAGATAGGATCCTTGGACGAAAGGCACCTAAGTGACCCACATACATGCAATCTCAAACAACGAAGATGATCAAGTTCAATCATGTGCAGATCACAAGTTTTTCCGATTAAGCATCTTCCTACTGCAAAGAGTAACGTCGCCTTACATGGAATCCTCCCTCCCTCGAACTCTTCTCAGGAATGTGTTCAAATCAATCATTACCATCAGCTACTGCTGATATTGAGTGATAAGAACTGACCATCCTTCAGACTTCACATTCCTCAGCTCTTTCATTTAACCATACGTTCGGAAGCACTAGACTCGAGTTTCACTCTTATTAGAGCTCATCAGTAGTGCATATCCACCGTCTGGGACAATTCGGCATGCGCTGGTTGGCACAGTGATGATGCGCCTTCCATGCGATGGGTCCGGAGTTCAAATACCGGATGAGACGGTGAATATGCACGGCTGATGAGTTCTAATAAGAGTGAAACTGGAGTCTAGTGCTTCCGAGTGTATGGTTGATTGGAAGAGCTGAGAAATGTGCGTGGAAATGAAGTCTGAAGGATGGTCAGTTCGGACCAATATGAATTATCTGTGCGTTAAATGTGATTTTCCGTGCCTTGTGGNNNNTACTCTCTCACTCGTACAAATTTAGTAGTACGAAAGTAAAATTAAAAAATTAATCAAATTGTGATACGGATTCGGACGGGTTACTTCTCTCTACCACTGTCATGAAAACATAAACTTGTCCCGGGCTGACTGTCTATCTGACGCTCTTTATTGTTTGTTTGTGAGCATATGCGTGCATATCGAAAGTACGACAATTTTTGAGCGGTAGCAACCTAATGTCTGTCATTTTCCCGCCAACTGGACTAGATAACATTCTGTTAATTTCGTTGATTCTGCATTGAATTCATTCATTTCTCTCCGAATTATGGGTATACTGGTTGTTTTATCCGCTGAGCATCTGTCTAA